CCCCCCCCCCGCTTCCGTCTTCCCTTCCTCCAAGCACACCAGGCTCCGCAGAACAACATCATCCTCGCTGAATCGGATGACAACGACCTCGATGACCTCGGCGAAGAAGATGTTGAACATCAGTGGGGATAGCACACATCCTTGTCGCACGCCCTGTGTCACGAAGAACCAGTTGGATAGTTCTCCGTCGTCCATGCGCACCCGGGCCCGCAGTCCATTGTGGAATTGGCGGATGACTTTGATCAGCTTCGCGGGAATCCCGGCCCTGTCCAGCACCTTCCATAGCATCTCCCGGTCCACCTAAGCGTACGCCTTGTTCAAGTCGACGAAGCACATGTAGAGCGGTATTTTCCTTCTCCGCCCCAGCTCCTGGGGGTTGGTTGTGTCCAATACATTGGCTACAGCTTGCCAACAGTCTCGGTATTTAATTCCGCGTAGAGAAGATCATGCGGTGTGGCCCTGGCGTGGGCAAACATTGGACCCGCCTGTTGTACACAGGTAGGTACTGAAAAATCCGCTGTTAGTAGCATCACAACTTTTTTTCACATTTACCAACTATTGTATTATGGTAGTCTAATGCAATGCGCATTAGAAATGTTCTGATGTTTTTGGTTTGCGGGAAGCGACACTGACCAACGAACGACAGCCTATACAATGTTCGACGACACCACGGGTTGCTCATCACGACCTAGCTGTATCTTATGTAGACTATCCTGCCCGTTCATGGTGGTCCTGCCTCGCGCTGCTGAGGAGCCTTACTTGTATGAGGCACGAACCGCCTTCGCCGTCCCTGGGGATATGGCTGGTTGTCCTCCCCTGAATCTTACGGATGCCTCCTCTGTTAGGGACACTCTTGTAGTTTCCAGAAGTCATGTGTGTCCGTATTTACCACGGTTCGCCGGCGTGTTGTGTGCCTGTACTGTAGCGGGCCGGAAGAGATCTGCACCCTCCGAGGGGGCATTGCTGTACCCTAACAGATATGCTTGGGTCGTTGAAGCCCCTCGAAGCAGCTCGGAGGTCTTGAAAGAATGGTCGATTTATTCCCGTGCTTTTCATGTGCTCTTCAGGACATGTGTGCACTCACCAAAACCGACCTCTCTATCGCGCAGGATGACGTCTACCCGAAAGCCCCTTCCATCATGTTCTACAAGATGTTCCTCGACGAGAGCGTTCGCTTCAGCCTCTCCGAGTACGACGCGCTCTCCATCATCGAGCCGGACGTGCTCGTCGCCAGCGACAACTCTTTCGAGGAGCTTTACCACGCCGCGTTCCGCGTGAACGAGGAGTTCTGGGTGAAGGGAAGCAACCTCGAGGGCACCTCGTTCCCCTCAAGCGCTGAGGCGTCGGAGATGTGGCAGGTGCTCGGCCACATCAACGGCAACGCCATCTACAACAACGACGACCCGGCGTTCGTCGAGTACGTGGAGTACACTCGGGCCCGCTGGGGATACGAGCACCCGTACGACGTGGCGCTGTGGATGACTATCTCGGACTTCCCGTATAGCAGGCCTCTCTACCAGCGGTACTCGAGCAAGTTCGTCGTAACCAACCTGGTGGGTAAACGGGGCGGAGTAGTAGGATGACATCGACGAAACCTTGTTTTGATTTCGAGTAGCTTCGCGTTTGAAGCACGGCGACGGGCATCGTTCGTGTTTGAAGAAGATAGCTGTACGTTGCATTTCAGCGGTAGTCTGTGCACACGGTAGCGTCGATGAAGCTCCAATGACGATGAACAATGGTACGATTTACGATATCGCCTTGAGGAGATCTGAGTAGGGCAAAGAAATCAGGAAGAATGTAGCCGCCTGGTTGTCTCGAAAATCGTCATTAGAGTGCACCAGTCACACCTACCTAGGCAACTACAGCAGGTACACAACGATGATTCGCCCGCAACCTGGCGAAGGCATGAGACCCAATCCCCCGCCCCTCTACTGGGTCAGCAATAACAACAGTCCCACCGTTGACTTCTCCATGCCCGCTCCTTTGCACGTCCGCTACGTCTTCAAGATCTCGTACGTCGGAGACGAGCACGTGACCCAGGACACAGTCTCCGACGCCGTTGCCGGCAAGACTCTTTTCATCCACGGCGGTGACGTAGCGGACGTCATAACCGCCTCCGCCCCGCCCCCGCCCCCCGTTGTTGTCCAAGAAACTGCGCGAAGGAGCCAGCGTCGCCGAAAACTCCAGAAGCGCAGGACGCGCGGGAATCGGAGGAGGGGGAATGACGGCGATGAAACCCTCAAGTGCGTATGCCGCGGCAATCGGTATTGGTTCTTGCTGTTGACTTGATGATTTTTAAATATCTTCCTACCAAAATGAACGGGGCAGGTGGCCATGTTCCACCAAGATCGCGTTGCCTCGTACAACAGTTAACCTCCCGCCGCCGCTCTCCATCTCCTGGCGCTCCTAACAGGTGCACGGACGGGTGCAAGTACACGAGCAACGACGGGACCAGGGGACGCGTGTGTGACGCGAACTGCTCGAGGCGTGACGTGCACGGTACCCTCGGATGCGGCACGAAGGACGGGGCGTACGGGACGGAATGCCGCGCTTGCTACAACGACGGCGACGAGGCACACAAGCAAGATACACCGGGGAACCGGGCGATCATGTGAGACGCATGACGCGCAGGGCGTGGCCTTGGGCGACCTCTACCTAGTGGTTGCGACTGATGAACTGGAGACAATCATTATTGCCTGACTCATGAGTAACAGGTTCAAGCTCAGGCTTGCATATGGTGACATACTCCTCTGAACGATGCGTGTGGGAATCAGCTCGGCTGATGAGACCTGCCCTGCGCAACATGTGTCCAGTGCAGTGCTGTAGCGGTTGCGGGATGGCGACGGCGGCTGGCGACTTTTGTTGGACGACACTTTTCACTTTTCGCTCGACGCATCGCCTGATGCACCCCGTTGTCACGCCTACCTCTCTCGCCCGACTGATCTCGACAGGTGCTCGACCGTGATGCCAGTGGACGTCCGCAGCCTTTGGCTATCCATCGACAACGAGGACTATTCTCTTCAAATCGGGCAAGCGATGGAAGGAGAGGATGGCGAGGAGGAAGTGGAGGGCAGCTTCGAGCGTGTAGGCGTCGATGGTGTCAGGGAGGGTGTTATCTCCTTTTTCGAGGAGGCGGCCGAACGACCATTTTTCCAGGACCTGAAGCGCGGCAACCTGTGCGCCTTCGTCGGTGGGCGGGTAGACGAGGAGGCCATGTGGGAGGTGACGGTGAAGAGCATCCTGCAGTTCATGCCGGGCATGAGGGTGGCCATCGCGGCTGGGGCGAAGGGACTTGACGCATACGAGAGGTGTGTGTGTGTCGGGGTATTGTAGGATCACTTTGTGCTGGCTTTCCGGTGTGTGCTGCGTCGGTCACCACGTTGAGGTTTCGCCTGTGTAGAAGGACAATCGGCTTTTAATGAACCTCTCCGTTTCCCGTACTCGAGGATAGGATTCCTTATGACGACCGTGTGTTTCTCTTGTCGTGTTCGTTTCCCTCCTTCTTTCCGGGCAATTCTAGGTCCATGGGCGGTCGCCCCGGTGTCACCATTTCCAGCACCCAGAATCCCGCCACGGCGAGCCTGTTCGCCGATCGGTTCTGCGGGGCCGGCACCGCTCTCATCTTGTACGTCGAGCCGGGGTCCGTTCTCTCCCGGCCCTTCACCTTCAAGGATACCCACTCCCCGCGGGGCGACCTCCTGGTCGTGCACGGGGGTGGTCAGGGGAGCTACCGCAACGACGAGCGGAGCCGTCGCTCGGGGTTGGTCCTCGGATTGGAGGCGCCGTCCTTCACGCGCGGCACCGACCTGATGCTGCCGGTCGGCGCAAACAAGGACCTCCGGGAGTCGCTGGGAATGGAAATGCAGGCAGACAGCGTACGGCGCGACGGCGACGGGGCTGCGGTGACGGCCCTGGCCGAACCGGTGGACTTCGAGGAAGTTTCCTCCGTCCCTCAGGCAAGAAACCGTGTGCGTGCGTGCGCAAGGATGTCTGTTTGCTTTGTTGTCATGGGCGAGGTGCTTTGGCGCGAGGCGGGGTAGATGGTATACCGTGAACTGTTTAAGCCGCAGGGCGGTGGCGTGAGAAAATCTGAACGTTGCAGACCCCGAACACGCGGCGTTTTGAAGATCCTTCTGCTGTGCTGTTCTCTTTGTTGCAGATGTTGGCCGCGCTCGCCTATGCCCGCAACACGCCGGGAGTGTGGTTTGGCGACCCCCAGGTCTGGTCGGGTCAACGCCTCTTTCAGGAGGCGTCCATCTGGGATATTCCCCTGGCCAAGCCCCGCTTCACCTGTGCCATCGCCCTTACCCTGGAGCCCGATAGCCTACACGCTGCCACAACTTTGCAAAACAACCTTGACTTCTTCTCCAGAGGGGGGAAATGCGAAGACGGTTTGATCGAATACTCGAGATGGTTTTGAATCTGTCCGTCGCTCTGTTTTCGAATTTGTGGTGGGGTGTTTGGCTTAGTGTGCGGCTGGTGAACGCTGGGTTGCACACGCATGCGAGGTTTCCGGGAGGTACGCTGTCATTCAAGTTGGGGCTCAGACTTGTAACATCGCGATATGCGACATGGCGTCTTCGACGCTTTCGTCATGACGCCTTCGACGCTTTCGTCTTGCACCGGCGCCGACAGCCCCCCGAGGCGGAATGATCCTCCAGCGCGAAGCGTGTGCAGAGTATGTACTCCGGATCACGTTGAAACCTCGCTTCCGTTCCATGTAGAAGGCCAAGCAAATAGGTGTGTTCTGGCCGGCATACGATAGTTGTTGGACGCTGCGTGTTGGTGAACTCGGCTGTTTTTGGTGGTGTGGTAGTGTCACTACCCCATTTTGCCTGATACGAAAACGCCTGCTGCATAGTACCATGCCGCTGCTCTTTGTAGGCTTGGCCGGCCAGTAGGTGGCCCCCGAAAGCTTTCAAAAGGGTATCATCGCGGCCTTTGTTGGTGTGTGTACAATGGCGGTTTGTTGCCGTCCAATCCGAGGAATGATATGTTTCGTTCTACGCGGTTCTAGCTAGCTGTAGAGATCCCGCACATGTTGTCACCGTGGTCGCAGCAACAGCAGAACTGTTTTCTAGCCCCGAATCCAAACAGTTCATTGTGTGTTGTGTCGCTGATTTGCCAAGCATCAATGTGCAGGAGCGCTTCTATTTTTCAAGAGAGTATCCATACAACCACCGAAAGGCTATGCATCTACCCGTTCTTCATGTCGCATTTCGGGTCAAAGGGTGCCGCTTTTTATCAGGAGCATGGAGCCATTGTTGTGTGACGCTGTTGAACGTTGCGATTGATCTGCGGAGAAAGTAGCATGTAAGCCTAACACACGACGTGCTCTGTCAACTTCCGGCAGTTTTCGACCGACGCGAGGGGGAGAGGTGTCGGCTACTCTCCAAGTTAGTTACGTACAGCAGTATCTCTTCGTCGCTGAAATGGGTATGGGAAGGAGCAGGTGTTTGGGTAGAATAGCGTCAGTCTCAGATCGTTGACGTCGCTTCCATGGCCTCCTATTTCGTTTTTTTTGGTCGCAGCATATGGATGGGCGCTACGTTGACATTTATTCGCTTGCATTTGGCTCCGGTTGATTGCGATTTGTCCCCCCGACGAAGATGATGAAGAAGCGAATCAAAGGAATAAACATGCATACGCTTGCGTTTTGGTTGCTTCCGAACTACAGCATCGTTCATTCAGGATCGCTTGTTCACGAGGGCTGCGTGACTCTGGTGGTGGTGTGGTTTCCACCATCTGTTTCTCCAATTGGTTTCTCCGTTTTTTTTACTACGCTGAAGGTCGTGGTGGACATCGCGTCTCGTGGATCGACCAACAGCGACGTACCACACGACCACACGAACACGTGCTGGCTGATAGTCAGGGAGGCAGGCTCGTTTTCAAGCCCAACCCTACGCTCATCCTACTCACTGCGCCGTAATTATGGCTCATCCGTCTCGATGACTTTTGTTTGCGTTCACAAATTGGAGCATTTCTCGCCCACTGAATAGCGCGGCCGGCACCGACCGGTGGCCCTGCATAGCGTTGGTGAGTTTGCCGGGCACCTGACTGAATAATCTGTACGTTGAATACTGTAGCGCCAGTCCCTCTTAATAGCGTCCGTCGATGCACCGGGCAGATACCGGCATTGTTTAGCCCCACTGCCGGCAAACACATGCATGCATGCTGCGAGAGCGCAAAAACGGCCCAAAGAAGGCGCTCACCACGTTGTTGTTGTACATTTTCGAAATCAACGCATGTATGTATCCGACGGGGATGGGTAGCTAGTTATCACGGGAATATGCCCCCTCTGCTGATTATCCTCTGCACACCAATCATTGTAGGAAGTAATCACGGTGGAATGCCCCCTCTACTGATTATCCTCTGCACACCAATCATTGTAGGAAGTAATCACGGTGAAATGCCCCCTCTACTGATTATCCTCTGTTAGGCATTCCGGTCCCCACCGGCTGCTGCAGCTGTTTCAGTTCTTCTTGTGGTGCAGAACCCGTAACCATGATGATACGTAGCTACCGACTGTGCGTACATGCATGATTATGTAGACTATATAGATTCATTCATTCCCGGGGCGAAGCTCTCCTCTCCTCTATAATAATAGAAAAATAGTGAACAAAGCAAGTTTCGAATTCCCATTTCACTCGTGGACAAATTGGCAAGAATGCTCACGAGTAAGTGTGGTAACTGAGGGGACGTAAACCCCTCTCGCACGCCAAAGTTTTGAAGGCAACAAGCAACGGCGGCAGAGGGAGAACAAAGGGATTCGTTCCTACATGGTGTACTTATTCCTACACAGAAAGCAGATTTGTAGCAAAATATGCCGTGTAAATAATATTATTGCTTCGAGAGAAATACGACAGCAATTATCACTTCGAAGTACTGGATACATTGGGGCATGTGATAATCTGGGATTGGATCGTCTTTCATCAGCAGGTATGCATATGTATCTGATCTCCAATGTCCCCAGTTCACGTAAAATAATATATATTTGTAATATTTGCAGTGTGTCTAATCCTCCAGCAGAGAGCTTCTCGCTGTGTGACTCGCTGGCGCATGAAAACTGTAATAATTACCGAGATCAAACAAACGTGTACATGGCGGCGCCCAGCAGAATCATAATACAGCCTAGCATACATACCACAATGAATGATGATGGATGGGGACAGACGTAAACAAGCCAACATTGTGCTCATCGTTCTCGTATCTATCGAAATCTCAAAACGGTTTTTTTTGGCACACGCATTCCTGTACAGATGAATTTATAATACCCTCCGGGTCCGCACAGGGCAGACCCTCCGGGTCCGCACAGGGCAGACCCTCCGGGTCCGCACAGGGCATCGTGAACCAGGCAGGTGAGTAATTACGTTTTTATCTGATGATGAATATTTCCGTATTCCGTTCCGCTCTCCCCATCCTTTTGCCCCCGCCCCTCTCACAACACAACACACACAGCACGCTCACCAATTCTGTCCCCCGCACCATTTCACCCGGGGTTCTCGAGCACACGCTCCCACGACTGCTGTGGCACGGCGTTGCCCAATGCTGCGTAGTATCGTGCGCGTGACCGCGGTCTTATCCGCCGCGTTCACGTTTGCGCGAGATCATGACTATCAAGATCCCCAGCAGCTGGGCGTCGTTGTTCCTACCTACAAGGGCGACCTCGCCAGGGCTGTATCTTCGCTTGAGCGATGGCCCGCCAAGTGCTCACCCCTGACCCTCGAGAATGCCGACCTCGTGTTGTACTACGCGGAGGAAGAGAGCAGCGCCACTGCCTCCGCCCTCGACAGCATCTCCAGCACCGCCGGCCGATGCTTCGCGAGAACGCGGATCGTGTTCGCCAATCTTGCGGAAGAGGTATGTATGTGGGTGCCGACGAGAATTATCTCCTTGTTTTTTGTGATGGTTGGCCATGACGTGGTGACGCATGCGCGTGTTTCCGTTTGCCGTGGTAGACTTGCTTTCTCCCTCTCGCATGACGTTCTCGGTACAACATGCACCAGCATATCACGGGCAGCCCTTCATTAATATTGCTGTCGTACGACTTATGTAGATCGGCTCATTTTTCACAATGCCTCGTTTTTTTTTTTCAGTTGCTCCCGAAGCACTTTTTTCATCGAGCCAGGAGAGACTCGAATGAACCAGCCTCTTACGCATGCTGCGTATGCGCGACACCAACATGCAGCGGTAGTCTGGACACCATAGGCCACTGCAGAGTGGGTTGCGCTACTAACTCGTGAACAGATTTGGCGCACTGCACAATAGACCCCGTCCTATCTCAGTCTCCTCATGGTAGCTTCGCAGCGGCATTCACAGTCCGGTTTGTTTTCTCGATTGGAGGGGAAATCGTCAGACGGTGATGAGCTGTTATGTAATTGGAAAGCCGATTTGGATTGATTTCCGAAGCAATGGAACTTTGGTTCCAACCACCCCAGAACACTGATTCTGATTTTTCTCTCTGCAATCAAGGAATGAAGACGTGGCAGAAACACTCTCTCGTTGTGTCGCGCATGACCGACAAAAAGCGAGGCTGCCTGCCATGTGTGAGAGTACCAGAGCGGAACAACCTGCTAAAAATGCAAAGTTCGCTACCACTGTGGCTGGGTTCTCCAGGCGCCTATTTTTTCCGGCGCTAGACCCTTTTGCCGTTTGCCATATGGATGGCGCGCTTCTCCGACTGTTCTTTCACAATTCTGCACGCATCTACGTTTATTTGCAGATCCTGTAGCTGCATACGATATGCTTAACACCGAGCGGGCGTTCCTGCCGACGGTCTCCTTCTCGGTGCCATTCATGGTTTGGAGGTCAGGTAGCGCCCCCCAACACGAAGTTCGACTTTGTGATGATCCTTGTGCGGCGTATAGACATCACCGGCACAGAATTAAGAGTTTTCCCAAGATTCTTTTTTCGAGAACAGAGTTCATCACGTAATCCTTGGTTGTCTTCGAGACGAGTGAGAAGAAAGTCCCATCCTTACATTCTATGCGCACAGGCCCACATGTTCAGGATTTTCAAATACTGGAACACAGGCGTGATCTGCCTGTGCTCTCTTCGCGCAACGTGCAGCAGTAAGATACGCCAACCTGCTCTTATCTACTTGGTGCTCGCAGATGTCAATCAATTTTGGATCTGGTCGCATATATATGTCACCCGTCACGAAAAGTCGGAAAAAATACCCCTTACCCGTCGCCCCCGCTGTGGTGAAAGAACTTTATTATTTTGCATCTTTTCAGCTTCGCAGCAGGATGGAACAGTGTCGGTCCTGTAACGAGTCCCCAGGAATATGACGGTGGACGCGGTAAGAAAATCGTGTACTGAACACGGCTGTACGAAAGTGTAGGGTGCATATCTTGTTGCATGTTTGGAAAGTTGGGGTGTCCCAATAATCTGTTGCAGGCACCCTGCTACCTGCTGCGCTTTGTCGCGTTCAGCGTCTGACGAACCAAAAGAGGAAATGATGAGAATCCATCGTGTTCTCATATCTCCCACCACAAAGTGCGCAATTGCAAACATCCCTCATTTTGCACAGATCACTATCCGGTCTCAATTGGCTTTCCTTCCGCCAACCCACCACGCTCACGAGCCTGCTACCGAGCTCATCGTCTCGTGCTCTTGTTGAAATGTGTGCACCCACCAATACCGACCTCTCTATCGCGCAGGATGATATCTACCCCCAAGGCCCCTCCGTCATGTTCTACAATATGTTCCTCGACGAGGACGTGCGCTCCAGCCTCTCCGAGTACGACGCGCTCTCTATCATCGAGTGGGACGTGCTCGTCGCCAGCGACAACTCCTTCGAGGAGCTTTACCACGCCGCGTTCCGCGTGAACGAGGAGTTCTGGGTGAAGGGAAGCAACCTCGAGGGCACCTCGTTCCACTCGAACGCCGATGCCATCGAGATGTGGCAATTGCTCGGCCACATCAACGGCAACGCCATCTACAACAACGACGACCCGGCGTTCGTCGAGTACGTGGAGTACACTCGGGCCCGCTGGGGATACGAGCACCCGTACGACGTGGCGCTGTGGATGACAATTTCGGACTTCCCGTACAGCTGGCCTCTCTACCAGCGTTACTCGAGCAAGTTCGTTGTGACCAACCTGGTGTGTGAAGGGAAACATTATAGGGGCTTTCTTCGAGCGTTTTAAGGGGGCGAAAACCCGAAAACATGTAGTTCAGCACCATCGCACTCGGCATAGGCAATCGACGAATCACCCGCGTTGTGAAGAATGAGAGTATTTCCTACACCCGAGGGTAGAACTTAAACCGGACCATTGCACATAGGTGTTTTTACCTACCCGTGTATTGCGTACAACCCCACATGCTATGACACGAATCTTCCAGATATCCTCCGTCGGGTACGAGCACGTCAACCACGACACGGTCTCCGACGCCATCGCGGGCAATACTCTGTTCATCCACGGCAGCAGCGTGGACGAGGGCAACGTCGCGTCTTACGAGGCTACTGAGGGCGACGCCTCTGTCGACGTCACAGCAACCCAGCGCCATCTCACGGAGGACGTTCCCAAGTGGAAGGAACAGGAGAAGTGGAAGACCAGCACCGTCCCCAAGTACGCTAGTCCGTATCCAATTATTTGATGGGTTGGTGTTGCTGGTCGAACATAAAGGATCGTTAGATGAACGTATCTTAACTACTTTACGACGAGCTGAATTAGTTTTTTTTGGAGAAGAAACAAATACTTTTAAACATACTCCTCTTTTTTTAGGACAACCTCGAAGGCCTACACTTTGCTTTTGTTGCTTTTTTACCTTTGCTCTTTTTAAACCATTGATTTATATTTGGCTTTGACATTACCAAGAAGGGGAGTTGAATCCCTACCCCTGCCTTATTAAGGACTGGAACCTGTGTAGGCCAACGGACTCTTTGGGTACCGCACGGTTCGTTGAGCTTTTGTTGAGTAAACGATGGACGGCCACGAGCAAACGACGGTGTACGCGAAGGACAATTTTTCCTACAGAAGCAGGGCCGACAGAACTGTGAAAAAAGCGGACGATTTGCCAGTTGCGCTCGATTGCTTTCGGCAAAGCAAAAGTGCGCTCATGTGCGTTTTTTGCTTAGCGTACTCTCGTTGGGAGCCTGAGGGAGATTTGTCGATGAGCCCCTTACTGCACGACATCTTCGCTTGTGATGAATCACGGGACTCCTCGTAAGGATGCGTACGAAATTGTTTGCTTTTGATCACACAATAAAAGATTATCAGTTGAGAGGTTGTCCGTTCCGGAGGATTTGTCGGATAACATCGGTCTTGGTGTGCAATCACCCCGACGTGTGTACTTGGACTAGGTGGAAGCTCAACGAGAAGTGGAAGACGGAGACGGACGACGGTGTTCCCAAGTGGCGCGCCAACGAGAAATGGAAAAAGCAGTACGAGGATTCTCCGGATGAGGAAGGGTGAGCGACCTTGGCGTCTCGTCATACAATAACTTGTTGGCCGAGTGCCTAGTTTAAGCTCTCGTGGGAACATTCGGCAGGGCCGTAGCAACGGCGGCCACAGCAATATAAGCGGTTTATCCCCTTGCAATCTCCACATTTTTGTTTTCGCGTTGTGTTCAACGGGTGTGTAATACCTGACAACTGGTGCTAAGAATGATGTCCAATTTATTCTGCACGCAGTACCGTTGTAGTTGGCGAGACAAGACCGCATTGCAATGTGCCGTTGCCCAGTGTTGAGTTCCGGTTGAAGGGCTGTTGTTCTAAGGACGACGCTCAGGTCGATCAGCTCATGGACCGTCAGCAGACCGTCAGAAGGGTTGTGATGGAAATATGCGTTTCCTGTACCGATGAATAGGTGGTCTCGTGAGAAGAAAACCAGTCGACAGGTTCAGTGTCCGGAAATGACTCTCGTGTACTCTTGTGAGCTATGTTTATACCGTTCACGTAACCGGTATTGTCGACACGCGAAGAACCTACGCAATTGTCAACACTCCCACGTACGGGTTGGCTAGAGAAAAATAAACGTGATCGATTCTGCTCTCCTTACTACCCCCGTACATCAACACCACCAACAGGTGCATGAACGGGTGCGAGTACACGAGCAAGGACGGCACCAGGGGACGCGTGTGCGACTCGAACTGCTCCAGGAGCGACGCGTACGGGACCCTCGGATGCGGCGCCAAGAGCGGAAAGTACGGTGCGGACTGCCGCGCTTGCTACAACGACGTCGAGAAGGCCCGCAAGCAGGACACGCCCGCGAACCGCGCGATCATGTGAGATGCCCTGTATGCCTTGTGTGGTGGTGCACTTCAAGGCTGCAGATATTTGCTGGAACGGTGTTCATAGCGGTCGGCCAATTAGAATGGCGTACATGGCCGCCTTGAGCATCATGGGCACAATGAATGGTGGATATTCACCGCCTCCCGCGGTTCCACAGGCGCCCATCGAGCGATAGTTTCTCGACATTTGTCAATTTCGCGCTGTCTGTAACTATCCCATTCACGTACCCAACTCCCCGCCCTGTTGATGTCGTTTGGTAGGTGCTCGACCAAGATGCCCGTGGACGTCTACGACCGTCGCCTGACTGCCGTTGAGAGCGACCCGCTGCTTGTCGCGCGGGATTTGGAGGTCTTGCAGAAGGACGCGTCATCCCCGTCGGTAGAGGAGCACCGCCAGCTGACGGAGGATGTGCCCAAGTGGAAGGAACAGGAGAAGTGGAAGACCAGCACCGTCCCCAAGTGCGTACTACATTGGCGGTGATAGTATGAAGTTGGTCATTCTGATTGCATGAAATCGCTGCACACCCGCTGGTCGTGCTTTTTTGCCAAGTATCCGGTCCCTTACGGTTATTTCGTGAAGTCTATTTCTGTAAGGCAACCTTTTTTGCCAAGTATCCGGTCCCTTACGGTTTTTTCGTCAAGTCTATTTTTGTAAGGCAACCTTTGATGGAGTTAACTCTGTCGAGTATTGATGCCTGATTAGTTCATGGGAAGTTGTCTCGGCGTTTCCGTGCAGCACCGCAGTCCGGTTTGTGTAACGTTGGCGAGGTTTGTATAGTGTTGGCGAAGGAGGCACTCCCCGGTGGGAGAACTCGTTCGAGGACGGGGTGATGACCAGTTGAGGATGTGCACCGGAAAGTTGAGTCGTGGCCAATGGCAACGGAACGTTGGTTGACATCGAGTTGCTAAACGAACCCGTCGATAGATACGCCAAATCCTTGTAGGACCCCCTTGAAAAAGATCACACAGGCGATTTTTAAACCAAACCAAATACCATGTGGTAAAATACCAAAACCAAAGGGGGATAACCAACCGCCTCAAGACCAAATAGAAGTTGAAGCCCCCAAAACTAACATGTACGCGTATTCCGCTAGAAAAAATAGAGCAAAACCCATTGCGGAATATTCAACCCGACTCTCGGACATGTGCGCATGCAAATGCGGTCACGCATCGTGACAGGTGGAAGCTCAACGAGAAGTGGAAGACGGAGACGGACGACGGTGTTCCCAAGTGGCGCGCCAACGAAAAGTGGAAGAAGCAGTATGAAGACTCCTCGGATGAGGAAGGGTGAGTGACTGTGGCTTGTCATGCTAACGTCGACAAAAATTCGAAACGTCCAGGGTACGGTGTCTCGGTCATCCGTAGTGCAAGAGACAACAGGAGCTATACCAGTTTCGCGTCCCTTTGGTGGCATTACACGTTTTGAAAATCCGGGGTTAAGGGCCTAAGCACTCTGGAGACCGACGCTTTCGTCGTTCACGATGAAATCATGACGGTTTTCAGTCAGTTTGTCTTCGCGAATTTTTGGTTACTCGTACTCACGTACCAATAAGTAGTCCATCGGGGAAAAACATGAACACAGCAACTCTGAGCCAGCGAACGTATTTGGGCTTGTGGTTGTGACGTTCACGTCCGTTTGAAGCCGGTGACGTTTTCAAACTTTTGCGCATATACTACTTATCGCATACCACAACGCGAGCGATGCCCGATGGAGAACCATTCGTGATCTGCCCTTTATTCCCCACTACCCTTGTGTGTGGACCATCTCGACAGGTGCTTGGACGGGTGCGAGTACACGAGCAAGGACGGCACCAGGGGACGCGTGTGCGACTCGAACTGCTCCAGGAGCGACGCGTACGGTACCCTCGGATGCGGCGCCAAGAGCGGAAAGTACGGTGCGGACTGCCGCGCTTGCTACAACGACGTCGAGAAGGCCCGCAAGCAGGACACGCCCGCGAACCGCGCGATCATGTGAGATGCGTTGTGTGCCTTGTTGCGCGTTGGAACAGTTGTGGTCCAGAGGTGCAGATAGGATGAGAAGTATGTTTCCAGCAATGTGTCCCTCGTCCGCGTGAACGCTCGAACAGACCCCGAGCGATTGTCTCGCTCGATTAAGCCCGCCTGTACCTTGGTGTCCATAGTCGGCTACATGCAACCGCAGGTACCGCCCGGATGTCATCGCCTTCCAGGCGATGCTTACTCGACGTCGTTTCTTCACCCGTGGCTTCCCAACCATCCCATTCACGCATCTACCTTTCTCGCCCGATTCCTCGACAGGTGCTCGACCAAGATGCCCGTGGACGTGTACGGCCGTCGCCTGACTCCTGTCGACGAGAGCGACCCTCTTCTTGTTGCGCGTGGTCTCGAGGCCTTGCAGGAGGACGCATCGTCCCCTCCGCAAGAACACCGCCGGCTGACGGAGGATGTGCCCAAGTGGAAGGAACAGGAGAAGTGGAAGACCAGCACCGTCCCCAAGTGCGTATTCCGTCGCTGTTGGGAAGTTTTGTTGTTGGTATTGCGGTGTTGAGAAGATACTTCTACGGTCGGTTTTTGATTGTCTCATCACTCACCCGATTGTCCGGGGAACCGGTCGAGTGTATCAGTCTACCACCCGGTGGGTTGGCCTCTTCAGTGAGTAGTATTGCGACGTGAGGGCCGTTGTGTATACTGAAAATTCTCTTTGTTGTCCAGCCAGGTGCGGCAATTGCAACAGTCGTAACTAGCTGTGGCCTTCGTGTGTTTTTTTTTATACGGCAAGGGATGGTCATGAGATTATTTCGGTTGGCCGACGACATCATCTAAACACAGGGCATTCATTGGTGGCCAAAGGTGCAATGCACCGAACAACCTGGGGGTTGATGTTCCCATAACCGTCCAGTTGTGCAGACTTGGCCACAGACGCTTCATTTTGACGCCCACAGATAGGATTGGGTGCACCAGCTCATCCGCGGTTGCCCCATGGCGCACCCTTGTGTCGTCGCCCGTTGACCGGTCGTTTCTGGTCGTACTTGGACGGGAATCCGCAACTACAGGTGGAAGCTCAACGAGAAGTGGAAGACGGAGACGGATGACGGTGTTCCCAAATGGCGCGCCAACGAGAAGTGGAAGAAGCAGTACGAGGACTCTCCGGATGAGGAAGGGTGAGTGATCTTGACGTCTCGTTTTCCAAGCATCCCCAAAGACCGGCCTTGACGGACGACATTTTATACACTTCCGGGAAAAATGCTCCGCCAGCGGCAGGGGTTATGGTCCGAAATGTAGAGGGGGGTTTACAGATATGATTTGCTCTGGCACGGAGTCACTGTTCGTTATGGCCTTCACGTTGACAAGTTGCGCCAATTCCATGTTTCTTTGACGCATTCAGAACGGCCTACGACAACCGCACTCGTGTTGGAACTCGAAACAGGTGCTTGGACGGGTGCGATTACACGAGCAAGGACGGCACCAGGGGACGCGTGTGCGACTCGAACTGCTCCAGGAGCGACGCGTACGGGACCCTCGGATGCGGCGCCAAGAGCGGAAAATACGGTGCGGACTGCCGCGCTTGCTACAACGACGTCGAGAAGGCCCGCACGCAGGACACGCCCGCGAACCGCGCGATCATGTGAGGCGCATGGCGACATGTATTGCTAGGCGTTGCGATACTCTTCCGCGGATGGTTGTGCCTAGGCGGGCAGTCACAATCTAACGTTGCCATTCTCACATGACGCTGACGATGCTTCTCGTGACACCGCTGTCATTCATTGGTTGGCCTTCGCCTCCCCTCCTCACCTCTAACCATCGCCCGGTTGTTTTTTTCTCGATCGGGACAGGTGCTCAACCAGGGAGCCGGTCGACGTCTACGGCCGCCGCTTGTCTGCCCACCCTGAGGACCGCTTCCCTCAGCTCGCGCAGCAAATGGAAGCCGAGGACAGCGAGGACGAGAACTCGGAGGGCAGCTACGAGCCTCGCGTGGAGGTCGAGGTTGGCAGGGAGAAGGCGATCCGCTTCTTCGAGGCGGCGGCGGAGCGGCCGTACCTTGGCGAGATAAACCGCGGTGACCTGTGCGCTTTCGTCAGTGGTGGGGTGGGCGAGGAGGCCATGTGGGAGGTGACGGTGAAGAGCATCCTGCAGTTCATGCCGGGCATGAAAGTGGCCATCGCTGCTGAGTCGGAGGGACTTGACGCATACGAGAGGTACTACTGGTGTGGGTAGTCATTTTTATGTAGGTCACGGATACTAAACCTCCCACACACCGTGTTAACTCGTGTGCCCGTTCGAACTTTTTGGAGTGAGATAGCGCTCGAGATATTCCTCAATCCACGCTGTGGTATATGGCGCGCGAATCATGAGTGCTTGCGTGTTTGCAGGACTTGCCCCCTCTCGTGGTTGATAAGGGTCGTCCGCTTCTGCTGCGCTTCTACTCGCTGGAAATTCTAGGTCTATGGGCCGTCTTCCCGGCGTCACGGTGTCCGGCACCCAGAACCCCGCCACGGCGGCCCTGTTCGCGGACAAGTACTGCTCCTTCAGCGAGCTTATCTTGTACGTGAGGCCGGGGTCCGTTCTCTCCCGGTCCTTCACCCCCAAGGACACCCACTCCCCGCGTGGCGACCTCTTGGTCGTGCACGCGGGCTCTCAGGGGAGCTACCATGACACGGAGCTGAGCCACCGCTCGTCGTCGGTGCTCGGGTTCGAGACGCCGTCCTTCACCCAGGGTACCGACCTGATGCTGCCGGGAGATGCGAACTACTATGTCAGGGAGGCGTTGGGGTTGAAGATCGGTTCCGAGGGGCTGCAGGAAGACCGCGACGGTGATGCCGTGATCGCGCTTCAGGAGTTCGTTTACTTCGACCAGGTCTCCGCCGTCCCTCAGGTATGTACGGCGTGTGTCTTGGGGTATGCGTGAAATAAGGTCGTGGCCGTAATTTGCTTGGCGCGTTTTTCTTCTTTCTCCAAACTGTATGTACACCCTTTCGGGCATGCTGGACCAACTACTGCTGCCAACTCGAACGTCATCACGATAACAACGCCGGTTTTGTTGCGAAACCACTCATGTTGCGCATTACAGGTGCTCGCCGCGGTCGCATACTCCCGTAAGACGCCCGGAGTTTGGTTCGTTGACCCCCGTGGTTGGGTAGGCCAGAACCTCTTCAAGGAGGCGTCCATCTGGGACATCCCCCTAGTCAAGCCTCGATTTACATGCACCATCGCCTCGGACAAGCTGGACTCCTCAAGCCCCAAGACCGCCCAAGTCTTGCAAAACAGCGTGGTCTTTTTCGCGAATGGCGGCAAGTGCGCCAACGGCCTGATCGCAGACGCGCCGTAGGCCGCAAACGTACGCCCGGCGGCCGAAGTTTAGCTCCGGGGCGTTATTGGTACCCCCATTCATGGTGTGCGTTCTATCCTGCGCTCGTGTACGTATCTGGTTGCTGTCCCTTACTCGGTGATGGAAATGTCACACCGACCTGCTTGTGCTGAATCGTCAGCGTCGGTAGAGTCGCATTTTTTGTATCGTCAAAGTGTTGGTCACATGTAGTTTAGGTAAATTTATACCAGCGCCACCTTGGCGAGCGTGCGTGTTTCCCGGCCTGTTTCCTTGGACGCCAAGTTTCCATCAACCTTGGCGAGCGGCCTTTTTTCTTGGGACGCCTAGTTTCAAGCAACTAGATTCATAGTGTGCGACGTATTGAGATGTTGCTACCGAGCACCGTGCACGCGGCACCGCCACCCCCGGCATGGTTCCTCTTCCCGCCCGGCGATGGTGTTGAACGCTGCCTTCGGGATACCTGACCGATCCGTCATGAAAGATCTAACGGGAGGGAGGGGGACATTTGTATTCCATGTCGTTTTTCTATTCGTGCCCTATGCCGGTGTGTGTTTTTTGTTTTGGGTGGACTCGTGCGCTGATTAGGCAGGACTGATTACTGCCGAAAGTCATAGGAAAGTTTATTGCCGTGGCTATGCACGCGAGTAGGGACAACAACTGAATAATTGAAGATAATATTTTGCAGTTGTCCACCGGCCAGTGTTGGTTCTTGTCTGTGGAAGTCACAGCTTGTTTTTTCCGTGTAAATTTTGTTTTATCCGTATCAGATGCGGTTTATCGGGCAAACGTGGGAGACAGGTTGTGTATCAGTAGTTGTGAAAAAGTTTTGTGCTGATGTCGCGGACTCCTGATTATTCGTAGAAAGTACCAACCCTGTAGGATGGATATTCCTGTTTAGTCTTACGTGTTTTTGTTTTAAAGTGCATGGTTGAGGCTGACATCGTCATCGGGTTACGTTAAATTTCGAACTGGTTTGTTCTGAATTCCCCCGATCCGCTCCCGGGTGCTTTCCGAGTGTGTGTTTTCCGACGCGTATTGAATGGTCGCACACCGAAATTGATTTCCCGTGAGTGGGTGTTGGGCAATACCACAGGTGGCAGCCCTAGGACAAGCAAGCTTTTGTTGATTTGGCGAGCTTGGCACCGAGACAGTGAGGTGACAACTATTTTTTGGGGGGGCTGGATTGAGTGTTCGTTCGTGGATGTATGTACATGTATTTCGGGAGAAACATTTAACTCCGTATGCATGGTGGGATATAATGCGACACACCTGGGTACACGGATGCCACCCGCGGGGAAGCGGCCGTAGTTTTTTTATTGGTGGGGGGGGGGGGGGGGGTACTCATAGTCGTGCATGCCGTAGTTGTTAGACCATTGACATGCATCCCTACAAAGTCATTAACCCTTGAGTCTAGGCTAGTCGCCGGCCGAAAGCGTGGTCCGTCATCCCCATGTTCCGTTTCGATTTATTTTTTTATTTTTCTTGATATAAAGAGGGGTGAGAGGTGAGAGCGAGACAGAGAGAGCGAGAAGTACACCAAAACAGCCCGCTGTACTTCTCCACACGCAACACTATCTCCACCTGTAGGCCATGAGGGTAGCCCGCGACAGGGTGCTGGCCGAATATAGGGTCATAGAAGGGTTGGATCGTGGTCGCGGTGCGGCGGGTAGGGCAGGTTAGCCTTGTAGACTTTGCAATGATGAGTCGTCAAGGTGCGTCAGCAACTCTATTTTCAGCACATTCCCCACCTATCAGTCAAAAGGCGCAAAATGATCACTGAAGACCCATAGCTAGTACATGTACTTCTTGACTTCTTTGCCCCCACCCAGTGTGAGCCCTGCCACCTCTCTAAAGCTCCTGTANCGGGTAGGGCAGGTTAGCCTTGTAGACTTTGCAATGATCACTCGTCAAGGTGCCTCAGCAACTCTATTTTCAGCATATTCCCCACCTATCAGTCAAAAGGCGCAAAATGATCATTGAAGACCCATAGCTAGTACAGGTACTTCTTGTACTTCTCTGTCCCCACCCAATGTGAGCCCTGCCACCTCTCTAGAGCTCCTGTAAACACAAAGCACACGAGCTACAGCAGCAGTAGCACCTTACACCGCCCCAAGCTACGGAGCAAGCTATGAAATTGCCAGCACCCGACGTCGAGGCGTACAAAGCCGGCAACACACGGCCTGCCACGATCATTTGGTGTCTTTGATCGCCAACAACCCACCATCGGAAGATGGCACAAACAACAATTTGGCGCGTGCTTCCGCCTTCGAAATTGCCGCCGCCGTGGGAGGGGAGTATTGCGATCACTTGACCGAGCCCGAGCCCATGCCCAGCATGGCCCCTTCAGCTGCCAAGGTAGCTGCTGCCGAACACCCGGGTCTGTGCGGCGTGTACCACGCCCACATCTTAGCTGCCGTGAAGACCCAGGACGTGCAAGCACGATCGGGCTCAACCGCGGGGAACAAATACCGCAACCAAGTGAGTGCTTGCGTATGAGAGGGGCGGGTGTTGTATGAGGAGCACGAAGCGAGNCCGTGGGAGGGGAGTATTGCGATCACTTGACCGAGCCCGAGCCCATGCCCAGCATGGCCCGTTCAGCTGCCAAGGTAGCTGCTGCCGAACACCCGGGTCTGTGCGGCGTGTACCACGCCCACATCTTAGCTGCCGTGAAGACCCAGGACGTGCAAGCACGATCGGGCTCAACCGCGGGGAACAAATACCGCAACCAAGTGAGTGCTTGCGTATGAGAGGGGCGGGTGTTGTATAAGGAGCACGAAGCGAAGAGAGAAAGGAGAGCTTTGCTGGCCGTGGTAGATATGCATGTAGATACGTTTCAACAGCCCCTGCTGTGCTGCAGGTTATACACCGACATGTTAGTGAAATAAGTGCCACCTATTCAGCCGTGCAACAGACAAGTACTATAGTCACGTGTAAGCATGTAGGTAGATAACGACTTCTTCCTCNTACGTTTCAACAGCCCCTGCTGTGCTGCAGGTCATACACTGACATGTTAGTGAAATAACTGCCACCTATTCAGCCGAGCAACAGACAAGTACAGCAAGTACTATAGTCACGTGTAAGTATGTAGGTAGATAACGACTCCTTCCTTCCTGCTGCTGCCCGCGAGTCGCTGTTACAGGAAGCGCCTGCTGGGCGATGTGTCGTGGCGGTGTATGTGGAGTACTGCTGTGCGATGTTCTGTGTGTTTTATGTTGTTGGCCTTCTTCCTTATCTGTGCCCTACTCTTCGAAAATGGCTGTCTGTACGGGTGTCGGCGAATATCGTGAATGCACCCGTCACGACGCTAGGAAGTTGGGTTGGAAGTGGCATGCCGCCTTCAAACGCCAATATGCCCATAGCAGCATGGCTGATGGGCACACTCCTCGCCTTCTCCGTCCATATGAATGTGTATGCAAGTGAGGCTCCTG